TTCAGTCTTGAGGGCACTTTTTTGTAGGATGAAACTCTATGGGGAATTTGTCAAATACTGAAACACTTGTCCGTCAAATCAGTATAAAAAACTCTTTGGTGTCTTAAAAACCTATCTTTACTGAATTAGAATATATAAAAAAATAAATAGTGTTTTACATCTTTCCAAAACTTACTGGTTTTTTCTTTTTTGATGAACTAGCACCTGCAGAAGTTGTACCTAATTGTGAAGCTGCCATATTAAAGGAGGGCACTGTGTTGCTGGGAGAAGCTCGGCAGGTTTCATGGTCATCTCGCTCACTCACACGGCGTTTCTTTTTTCGAACTTTGCTGCATGGTGAACTATGCGCTCTATAAAACACTAAGTTATTAGCTTTGATTATTTAGCCCAATGATCTATGCTTGACTGTTAGGATAAAAAGTGCGCAAAAGTCAGATAGAAATTTGAAACTATTACTCCGGTTTAATCTATGATCCGAAAGTTCGCGAGATACCTTTGCGGTAAAAGATATATGAATAAACAATCAAACATCAGGAGACAAAAAGATCAAATTATTCTACTGATAAGTATTTTAAATTCTAAACCAGAGAACCTAAAAATGATACAGAGAAAGACAAAATAATGCTTATCAATCGCTTTGTCACGCTTACTGCTTGCATAAAACCTATCATACCATTATAAACTGCAGGCATACGCAAGCAAGCATATGAGAAAAATGACTTATTCCACTTTTTACGTTTTACGGTAAAGTTCTCCAAAGAGATATTATGAGTGAAAAAGAAGCATGGTACACCAAATATACAATTCCGTATAAAATATAAAATAAGCTAGAGATTCTAAACTGCATAATTTTTCATTAGAATCGAGAATGGACTCAAGATTCACTACATCAACCTTAATTAGATAACTGAAACCACTGACAAGTAGGATATAAAATGAGAAAAACCATGAAGTTCTATTAAATTTTGTAAAAATACAAACATAAAACACTAACCCTGTATTTTTCAAGCCAACACCAGCAGTGTTCTGCCGATCCAAATCTGCAGAATCGTCACCAAATTGTGCCTCCTTTAATTAGATTTTCTAATTCCTGTTATCAAGTAATCAAAGATGCACAATAAAGTGCAGCAATAAAAAAATTCAATTTGAAATTGTCCTAACCAAACATTTTATCATGAAACAAAGTAAACGAAGAAAAAAATCAGTACCTCAAAATAGTAATATTTCTTATTAAACAGTTACTAACATAATATATTAAACGAAGCTACTATGTTTTGTAATTCCTCAAATCTCATAGTTTTTGATGCGAGGTGTGAATAAATCTAATTCAAACAGCACTGCACTTTTTTTGAATCATAATGATATTTGATTTCTCTAACGTTTGAAAATGCTGCCATCATACAAGATTAGAACTTTTGTCTCCAATACATATGAGAAGTACTCCTTAAATTTGATTTATAACAAATATCCAAGACGTACATTGGTAGAAGTTTGTATTTGCGGTGTATAAGATGCAGAGAGAACATGGGAATTGTGTTCTTCAACCGTCACTGAACTTGTCACATTTGCTGGTCCTAGAAAAACTTTTCCCTGATTTTAAAAATCTTTTAAATTACAAAGAGATAAATTTTTGACTGATTCAGATTTTCTTTCAGATACTTTGAAGTTGAACTGGAACAATTTCATTGCATGTAACACTGTTTTTTTTTGTGTTAAATAAAATTGTGTTAAATAGCAATTTTAAGTGATCTTCCTAACATATCTACAAATGTAGTTATCTGACATAATTTCATAATTATTTGATAAGACGAATACAGTCCCGAATAGAGAAGCAAATGAATTCATAAATGAATTAATTACCTGGAGAAGTTACGTTCGAAGATACAGAAATATTGACCGCTAGCTGACGTGTGCCAGAATGCGGTGTGCTGTAGAGAGCATGATGCTCAAACTGTTGTTGTCCGCCGTGACGAAATTTGCTCGTGCCAGCAGATCCTGCTTCAAAACCAGTACTCTGATATCCAGGCCTAAAATACACTGCATGTATGAGTACATAATAAACTGTTTTTCATTAAATTAACAGACTTAGCAATCATGTGAATCAGTCTTTCCAAAAATCCTCATTGAATCTTCTAGATAGAAGATGTAAGAGAGGACCGTAAATAAATAACAAAGTTCCGCAGATTAAATGAAGGGGTTCATAAGTCTTTGCAAAAAAAGAACACACCAGTTAGCTGGCTGGTGAACGTTTACAGTGGTTGATTGCGCATGTAAGCTGTTACCCGTTTCTTCTTCATCATCGATTTCTCCCTCTTCTTTAGATACATCCTCGCTTCGTGTTGATCCTGGAGAATTTTAGCAATTTAAAGTCAGCTAAAAACTTGTAGAATATCATACATTAACGTTACAAAAAACATGCATCCTATATACAGTTCACAGTGATTTTTTTTAATCTACTGACAACTCTTGTCTCGAATTTGGCAAACATAGAATACATCACTTTCAACAAAGACGGTTCGAGAGGCAAAGCTAATAATTAAACAGACAGATAATAAATCTGCAAATGTCCACGGAATTATTTTAAAACCTACCGTCACCACGTTTTTCTCCAAGATATGAAAACTGTCCACCACTGTTGATTGGGCTCTGTGTTCGTTTGATTGTCATTTTCAATCGATCATCTCGATGAACACCTTGAAGTACTTTTGAAACTCCACTTTCACAATAAAAATTTGGCTTCGGTTCAGGATCAACCGGATGACTTTCCACACCTATAACGGATGATCCAACTGCTAGGAGTGAGAAAAGCAGCTATTACAAAAAAAAAGAACAAGAATTTCTTATTAGTTCAGTAAAAGCTTCGGCTTTAATAAGAACTTACCATCTTCGGAATTCGGTGTTAATTCAACCGTTTTTTCATAAGTGGTCGTTTTGGAAGATGTTTCTGCACAACCTGTTTGGGATGAATGAGTGCTGTCCAGAATAGCATCATCTATCATCAAACGACCCTCATCTTCATCATACGAATCACCCATTTTCTTTTTATTCATTGACAATTAAATCCATTTCATACCCACGATTAATCGTATGTTTCTAATATATAGATCACTAAAACTAAAGAAATGAAATCGAAAACTGCAAAAAGATGAGGAAAATGTATCTATTAACGAGGTAAAATTTTCATACAATTTGTAAAAAACACAAAAATGAAAACATTTGCCACCAGAGTGCACTGAAAATACATAGAAACACACACAGATGATGAAAAATTCAGTTTTAAAATTCATGCAGATAATAGAATTTGAAGCATTCATTATTTTTACATAGGAAACTCCAAGCTTGCATTCAATAAATGCGAAATTTCTTCATCTATTAAAATGCGAAGCGAATCATCAGAATTGGATAGTTTTTAGATATTTTATCCAAGATAGATTCGTATGGTTTACCGCTTTAATTTCCCGCGTTTCAATTTCAATTTATATACATATTATAAATGGCTTGTATTTTCCATCTCAACCAAATTATCCTCCAAAGAAGCCACCGATTTTAACAATTTTAACAATACTTTTAACAATCTTACAATTTTTCTAACAAAAATTATAAACAGACAAACATCTTAGCATTTTTGACATCGTTTGTTTTACAAAAATATTTCAGAATTTAAAAGCGAAATCCTTTTGCTTCTTTCATCCTGCTTGTCTTGTTACTCCTCATATATGATATTTTCTTTAAGGCACTAAGATGACAGGCTGAAATTCTAATTTCATAAATTCCAAAATCATTGACATAAATACCAGTTTACTACTTGCTTGCAGCATTTCCTTTACACATGCAGCAAAAAGAGTAAAAATAAAGTATCAAATGAAGAAAAAACAGTGCAACGATAAGAAACACCAAAAACTCTTTCGTCTTATAGTCTAAATACACGCCTTTAGATTTCACAAAAGATGAACCGAAGGAAAATTGACAATTCAACTGGATGATTCTTTCCAGACAGCAAATGACGACTCATCGCAATCTTTTTGGTATTGCGTTAAAAACGGCACCGAAATGTGTTATTGATATACACGTGCAGTAGTTACCACAAAATTGTTTGTTACGACTCTTCGCTATTCTGGTGTCCATATCAACTCTATTTCATCCCAGCAGGTGGTAATTAGGGTCTCTCAACGTCAATTAATCAATTAATAAATAGAGAGAAACTAAGTTAACATTATAAACAATTAAGTTCAATTTCAACCGGATTGTCATCGATTCACCAAATCATCTCCCTTATTTTACAAGGGAGATGAAATATCGCCAAGAATTATACAGAGCATATTCTTGAGATATAAACATTCGCCGCTAGCAATTCTTTTCACTAATCACTCATATCCACCGGCTTGTCATTACTTCCCTAATTTGTTCCTTTATTTTATAGTAAAATTATATCCGTTTTGTCAACTTTTGTCCCGCATGATAGCATCATTACTGTACTGCATGAATAGTAAGAGTCAGAAAGATTCCCACCCAACGACACGGACAAACTGTACAGCCCCAGCCGCAGTGCGCGCTCCAGCACGAGCCATAACTGTCCCATGCGCACGTCATCGCTGTTATGCTGTTAGATGTGCAATCCGAACGTCTATTGCAGCCCGATACAGCAGAGATTAGGTCATATGTCACTGTGAGTGGGACGTTTATGTTTATGCCGCGGTTCGTAACTTTTATTGCAGTGAGTGATGTATAAGTGAAGTGATTTGTGGAACGTACAAAACAGATTATCCAAGTATGATGCAATGAAAGCATAGACTGTCTCTGAGCTAATGGAAAGTACCATCGACAGAATAGGTAATAGGATTCTCGTAGAGCATGGTAACAGCGTAGTGGTTTTCCAATAATCTGCAGGGCACCCCTCCCCTCTCCATACCTCATTCTTTTAAAATGTTGTGAATCACTACAGTGGTACTTTTCACAACCATCAGGATAATTTTAGGTTTCGAGACAATAAGCATTAGTGATCATCCGGATTTTCTTCGTTGATTTGCACTTGTACGTCCACTCTGCCGTGGTACCGAATGGGAATGTCGACCCCTGCACAGCTGATGATTTTCGTACTCCATCCAAAATCGTTGTAAATACTTTATGACACGCTTCTAAAATGAAACGAATATAATGCGTTCATTAATTATAACTATCGGGGCAAAATGCAATGAATTTCCCGTTCACTGTGATATTCCAATAACTTCTTAAAAGTGTGGCATATCTTTTCATCAATAACTCGGCTTGCACGGGTGCATTACAATCAACCAACTCTGGAAAAAGAGTACTATACCTCTTGATTTAGTGCCGAGATTACGTGAAAGCGAAAGAAGAGAGAAAGTTGTTTATCATACTATAACGAGATAAAATAAATGTGGCGGCAATGTAATGTAATGTAATGTTTCAAGAAAGGATCTAACCGTTTTTTGTGTTTCAAGGGGAAAGGACTGCGTATAATACCTTGCCATTTGCTTTTCCAGAGCTTCAGTCGGATGAGGGATAGGGATTTCACGGCGTACTTTTATTTCACCCTGTTGGTTACGTTTGGTTATAAATATTTTTCCCATAGTTTTCCCTTTTCGCTTGTGATATGTAAATGAACTGATCATTTTCTCCAGTTCATTCATGTCGTTAAGTATACTTCGTTTTTCGCATCCACATCCACACTCCATCTCAATGATTTTTCTGTATTTCGGTTCCTAAAGAAGAAAATGATCTCAAGAATTTAAGCGATTTCATAAATATGCCTGATGTATGAAAGGTAAATCTCGCAGAAATCAGTTCTCATCAATCATTCAATCTTAAAGGTGAAAGTGAAACTAAATAGTTAGTGGTAATATTATTTCCTGTAAATCGTTATTATGAAGAATATTGTAACATGTCACACTGTTTCGAATCACGATTTCAAGTCAGATGGTTAATTTCAAGTGAAGACGCTCATTGCAAGAGAGTTTCGAGCGTTCCAACTATTGCATTTTCCGTCAAATCAAGGTGCTCATCCTATTAAACATTTGTTATTTGTGGAAAGAGATACCTTTGGAGGTGGCGGAGAATGAAAGGGTATCTTTATTGCTGTAGATGATGTGCTAGGAAATTGTTCTTTCTTTTTAAGGATAACATGGGAAGGCTTCTTTTTAAGGATAGTATAGGCAGGCTTGCGAATTTCTCTTTTACTTCTGCCATCAGGCGATAAAATTCTTAACCTTTGTTGTTCAGGTATATTGGCCACCATGGAGATTTCCCGGAAGTTTGGAGAATTGACATTTATTTCTAACAATGACACTTCTGAATCTGATACGAATATGCTCGGTTTTTTTTTTAATTTAGCTGAGGCATTTGATGATCCTTGCCCCTCTGACATCTCTGCAGTACTCTCCCACACTTCATCGGTAATTTCAGATATTTTGGGAGTTCTATGACTAGCCTTCTTTAACTGTGAAGCCAATACTTCTATTTCAGGCACCCATTTTAGCAACGTTTGTGTAGATTCCGAAATTTTGGGTGCCTCATGTTTGATTCCTACTACCTCAATTTCCTCGTCTTCATCCAATCCTTTGAAACATTGTAGTAGTTCATCTTCTCTTGGAGGGGCTATATTAGCACCTTCCTCGTGGACATACTTCATGTAGATTCGTCGGTGTGAATTCACGAAATCTATTGCCGGGCGCAGATCTTTCATTTTGAGACCTGAAATTATTTACTCCCAAAAAAAATTTTTTAAAAGCTATCGCATATTTATTGAAATAATTTTCAATTATAATACGATAACTTAAAGATTTAGAGCAGCATGTATTTTCCTGTACAAAAGGTTGACATTTAACATTTTGTAGAAGCTTAATGTTACTGAAACGTATACATACAAGCCTCATAATACATGATACGACTTGAAAATGCGGATCCAAAAAGGACCTGTAATCCTTAAGGCTATTTCATAATCAAAACCCAACACCGAGACACAGGCCGCTGCTCCAAGCTGACGATATGTGAAATTGAAATTGCAAAGATCTATCATACAAAGATCCAAAACCTAAAAATAAATGTACATTTAATTTCATTTTAATTATAAAAGTTATCGCAGTGAGTTTCCGGTAAGGAAGAAGTAAGTAATAGTGAATAAACGATCATTTCCTTCTTCGGATGAAATTCTTTGCAGTTCAGATAAATTTATTAAAGAATAAGCCGAACACTAAGGGAAACTGAGAATTTAGTGTTCGATAATTCTATACAATATACCTGTGCGATGGCAATTCGATTGCACAAATGTACAGGCATCGATGGTTCACCTATAACGAGATCATCCAGTTGTGCCCATGTGAACAAGTCCACTTCTTCGTCATCGGCTGCTCCACATGTTACTTTTGTTCTTTTCTTAGTTGGTGTTGATTGGTATGTCAGGGTCAGGTTACGAATTCGCTTATATATGGTATAAACTCGCATCATATGCGCATATATTTTAGCCCATTCTAAGGCAGTTATAGCTCTGAATGACCAATTGATATTCTGCAATTGACAATATAAGATTAATTATTTTGCTTCATATCAAATTTAGGGAAAGATACAATCGATCGATATCTCAGAACTCTCAGTCCATTCTGTTTTCCCAATATCGGATTTGTCATTTATAATCCTTTGCTGATACTTGTGTTGTTGTAGGAAAAGAGCAGAAAAGATTTATATTCCGGAAAGTTCCGTAATCAATGTGCTACGGGATTGTGGAATATAAAAAATTCTCATACGGTAACTATTTTCATTTCGAGATCGAGCATACTTTCTGATTCCATGCGTTCGCATGGAGAAACTTGACGTATGTAATCCGCTATATTTCTCCAGTGGTTTTTTTTCCGTTCCTGAGTTAATTGGATGTTACTTCATATTCAAAATCATTCGTCTTAAAACAAATATTTTCGTTTCATTCTATACTTAATAGATTATTATTATTATTTATTATCATTATTATTATTATTGCCATTAATTATTATTATAGCTAACGGATTGTCTTCTCATTATATTAAGTATTTTGGATGAGTTGTGAAATTTGTTCACTCATATCCTCTTCTTTTTGCTGAAAGAAGCTCTTAGATAAGAAGATCCAGTACTGTGGATTCGGATATTTCATTGCTTGTGTCCTAGATTCAATTAGGACTTAGAAGTTTGAAGTGCTTTGGTTCGTAAAACAAAGGATTCAATCACTTCAAAATCGAAATGTGTTGAAACATTGTTTAAAATCCGAAAAAGAATTGGTTTGAAAAAAAATTAACCTCTACTTTGGAAGCGATGAAGACGGCGAAAATCCCTGTGAAAATTATTTCCGATTTATTCATTGCTTCAAAATCAAATACAGCCATTATACGATCGAATATATCTATGGCACGATGGTATGTTTCACGACGGTACTTCATATGTTCACATAGCTGAAACTCATTTAATGCTTTTCGGTTCTTCGGTGTTTATAAACCGTATATAAGCATGTTAGTATCATTAGCAATCGTATTATAAGTTATCTAAGTATGACTTATTACTTGGATCATTGCTAAAAGTGTAGTAACTCGGGAACGAACGCCTTTCACCTCCAATTTTTTCCAATTTTTTGACCTTCTTCCATTATCTTTTTCCCGTGATTCGCAAAGACTGTGCCAGACCTGAAATTTATATGTTTCCACAACTTCTCCTATCGTCTAAAAAATATTGGTGGATAAATGAGAAATAAATCAACCTGTTTTGGTGAGCCGAGACAGCCGCAGCTGAGGAAATTTGATGGATCGTTATAGAAACTAACATTTGGTGCACTAGCAGAGGACTCCGGATAAAATCCTGTACTGTCACTTAATCTAAACACAACCTTCTCAGTATAATTTGAACCTCCTTGGTAATGAGAAAATACGTTATCAAAAAAAAGGTGTTGAATAAGGTTAAATCTTCAAATATTAAAATTTTATTATCCTAGTAAATTTTTTGAAATATAACAGTTTAAACATGATGATAGCGGTGCTTATATCTCTAAAAATAACTGTATTACAACATTTTACTTTGTTAGCTGATTATAATACGGTACTAGGTGGTATTTATTTTATAACACTTTTAAGCGAAGGTTTTCATATATGTATTATTTAAGTTAATACCAACTTAATAATACCAACTAAACTAACCTGCATTCATTCTCAATTATCTTCGCACTACGACAATCTAAAATTAAATATTTGGAGTAGAGGTCGAAAAAAAGTTGAATGTAAAAGAGTAAAAAGTTGGATGAATTTAAATCTACTTTCTTCCGTAATGCGGCAGTACTTAATAGGCGGTTCAGAAGTTTGTGTTGTTTTCGGCAAGAAAGATCTTCTTTTTCTTTCTACGGGTTGCATAATTTAATTCTAAAACATAGTAATAATATATGACGCATATTAATAAATCGCTGAATTTTATCCGTAAAACGCCATTTTCAATCTTCAATTTAACGATTCACATTTATCAAAAAATCAATTTGGTTGAGAAGAAATGTTTGACAATAAGACGAACTAAAGGGTTCAGAATCAGTGCTCAACGAACTTAACAATAAATGATCAAAAGTTTTCCTGTTTTCGAGAGGACTGCGGTGATGAAACCGCCATGTAACATTAGCGCACTGTAACCGCCATCTATCTCCTATTTTTTATTTTGATCACCTTCATTTACGTGCATTATTTACCTGTAAAATCTGTCATTATGCATTTTACAGGAGACTATTTGTTATTAGGAAGACTATTATACTATTCAAATTGTATTGAAATGAATCAGACTGAAACAGTTGATATTGTGAGGCGTTTGGAATTAGGAAAAAAATAAAACATTTATCAGTACAGTATAGAGCGTTGATATCTTAGCTTTGTAAATGGAACAGGAATTAAACTGAACTAGATGACTTTAAATTCGAAATTTCAATTAAATATTAATAATATTGCAGATGAAAGATCTGGCGGGGCTACGCTTCGAATAATCAATAAATTTATCACATTCCATTCTCAACACACATAGCTTCTTCATTAGCTTTTTTTCCGTCATATTTTACTGGTTTCAATTTTAATTCTCATTTACTTCTAGTAAAAATGCTTGTGGAGAAAATAAAATGCTTCCTAAAGATGTTTTATCAGATTTCAATAGAAAACAATTATCTGGAAGCACTTTCACGATATCAACGATTATATATTTAGTCAAATCTTTAATTTAAATTACTTACCCTTAAAAAAAAATGTTCAGAAAGATCGAAGATCTTTCTGAACATTTTTTAATATTATTCAATATATTTTTATTAATATTATCACTCCTCTTCAATATATTATTAATTTTATCATTATTCATTAAACATATTTAATATTATCATTTACTGATCCGCAATCCATTATTATAATTAATCTTTTATAAAAATAACCTAATCAATCTTCTCTTCTCATTTAATCTTTATTTAAACTTACCCATTTTAATTTAAATTTGAAATCACTGTGAGCGCTAATGAAATATAATATTGACTGAAAGGTGAAATTAGCATCGATCCGAGTCAGCATTCCAAATCTCTACGGAGCTGGCAATAAACTTCACTGCAAAATATATTATTGGTATTACATTTGGTGCACCAAAGGATTTTACAATTATCTGTTAATCACTGACGACTTTAATATAATTTTGCTCTACAATATTTTATTTATTAGTTATAGATAAATCTGTGACATATTGCTTTCAGTCCCAATCATGTATTCTTCCAAAGCAGAATTAGCATTTTAGTAGAAATGCTCAATTTAATCCTTTTGTACAAATTATTCGTTTCGCGCACAAATAAGACATCGATGATTCGTGGAATACCGGATTCGCTACGCACGGAATAAATTTCCAAAGTGTATATATATACACATATGTGCAGTTTAATTTGGGACCTTTAAATATTCAGTTGGCTAAACGCACAAAATATCATGATATATTACCGAGCAAGGTAAGTTACTGACAACTCAGTATAGCAATGAAATATTATCTTGGGAAGATTATATAGAAGAATTCGACATTTCAACTGCATTGATTCTCTACTTCATTTACAGCACTAAAAGCAACATACCTACCTGCACATGCATTCCACACATTATGATTTACATCGTCTTAAAAATAAATTTCAGACTACGATATATCATCCAAACTATAAAGCATTGGCAAATCTGCCAAAACTTGTAAGGGAAGGGATGTACCAAATGTTTGGTGTATCCGAAACTAACTTTAGTCATGCTACAGCCACTCGATATCTCATTATTTAGCTTGAATGAAGTATGCTACAATTATTTGATGGGTTATGCAGACTTATTTTAATAATTTTTATCAAGTTCCTGTTTATCTGTGCACTCGTCTTTTATAAAGAGTTATACTTCTAATGTTATTTGAATTTGAATGAAATGTTGTTTAAAAACATATAATCATTAATATGCACTGAATCTGAATAAGTTACCACATTTACAAGAGATACTTGAGAAACTAAATCATGAATTGGAGAAGGAAAGAAATCACAGCGAACACAAACACAAAAAAGTTAGTGAAGGCAGAGTATATAAGGAATTGCAGTACAAAGAAATAATTGATATGTATCATTTTCGTATTAACTTACTCATTCCACCTAGCGATGAACGATTTCCATTCAAACAAAATTTCTTTGACCGAACCAATGATTTTCAAATCAATTACGCTCAAGTGCTACCCCAAATTCGCAATATTACTGATAAATTGATATACCCAATGTTTATCGATTTTTGTGAAAATATTTACCTATTTCAACCATGTTACCTTCGCATATCATAATTCAGCATGTAGAAAAGCAATACCAAGAAACGCAAATTAATCTAATTTAAATTTCTGGTAGATCTAGTAATACTTGATCAAGACTTCGTGATCCTTGTCATATATCCACTTCTCAGATCTCATATGAACTAGCGATGAAATGTACTGAGAATTATTTGTCCCATAGATAAAAAAGAATTTAAAATAGCATTAAATCTTGAAATTAAGCATTCATTATCAGCCATATATGTTCTTGAGTAGGAAGACCAGCTATTTGCTTCTGTTCATCATCGTAAAATTTATCAACAAAAACAGCTGCGCGTGTGAATACCTGAAAAATAAGGGACACAGATTCAAAATGAATGAAAATATCATTACTCAATACGAAATCCTATTTCTACCTTACATCATAACAGCAACATCTCAAAGCAAATGCAATCCACGGATGGAAACTTACATCAATTATTCGCTTCTTCACTGGCTGCAATAAAATATTTTCAGTTTCTTTGAAACCAATGTACAGATCGAAACATCCTTTAATCTGAAATGGAACTAAATGCAATCATTTATAACGGAAAATGACAATGACTGGCAGTGAAGTAAATTAAGTAAGACGTTAAATTTAGGAGATATCTGAAATAAATAAAATTGCTAAACAAAAGGTTTACCTCAGGCCACAAATGAGTCAGTTTTCTGTATGCTTGACCCGCAAAATTTTGCATACTATTTGCATTCAGAGAATCATTCTTTGCAAGATCAAAATCAGACATTGCTGCCTAAAAAAATTACTGCAGGGAATCACTTCGATAAACTAACGTAATTAGAGCATTAAGAAGGAACTTTCAAATTACATCCTTCTGAAGTGACTTACTGTCTCCTCTGCTTTAGCAATATAATCAGCAAATTCAAAAATAATCACATCGCTTGCTGTATTTATCAAGTTATGACAGTGAGTTTTCAACCGGACATCAATAATTCGGCGGCTATCACCAGCTGCTTCCGTAACTGCCAGTGGAACCTTAAAACGGATAAATTGACAATACTTCAACTGCCATTAATACATTACAGTTTTCAAAAAACTTTGTATATCTAAAAAAGATTGAAATAAATAGTAGTTGCAAAAAATAATGACCCATGTATAATAATATAATATATATGTATATATGTGTAGAAATAATACTTGCAACAAAAATTCCAGAAAGGCATTATTTGATGTCAACTGAAACCACCTATGTCGATCATGAAAAAGTTGCGAAGCAGAAGTTTTATATTTACTAAAATCGAAGACGTAATCACGTTGAGGAATGGTATCACAGGACGCGCTTCCTAAAATCAAATTTTTTCTTCAAATCGATGGCATTACAACTGCTTGTAATTCAATATAATATAAATCCGATATTTGATCATTCGTATACATCTGTAAATTTATAAAAACTTACGATAGAACTAGTTTTATTGCAAACTTACCAGGTGGCACAATGACCCTGTACGGACTTGTTTGCTCACGCAATATTAGCAGATGTTTCACGATAAATAATTCAGCATCTAGGGATCGACGAGTACGTGAAATTTTCTCCGTAGCACTGTTTCGAATCTGTTCCGCTGCATCTTCCAATGATTGGCAACACGCTGTTAGCAGTTCGCGAGCAATGCTTTGAAACACTGAAGGCTAAAATATCGACGATTTTACAGATTCAAGTAAAGACAAAAATAACAAGTACTAAGCACTGAACAAATTGATAAATAGGTTACCTCCAAACATTTAAATAGTTTCGAAAGAGAAAGCACAGTACGTCGAACAGTTGGATACCATAAACAGTAAAGATTGACCGCAGAAGTCGATGAGGTTGCATTTATATTATCCTGAACATCAGTTAGAAAATATTGTATGAAAATATGATAATAGAAAGGTATATTAAAAAATATATATGAAAAAATGATGACCTTATCTGAAGTGTGTTCCTTTTCAATCTCCCTCATCATTTCCAGCTTTTCTGGATAGACAAGATCTCCACTCGATGGAATGAATCCGGCTATGTCCGACTGTGCGTACAAACCAGTTCTGCAAGTGCAAAGATTAAATTACAAGATATAACAATAGTACACCTACGAGTCGATCACTGATATTCCAAAGCATTCCATGCATTTAATTACATAATATCAAGTTGCAATCTGAAATGTAATTACATTGCTGAAAAACTTACCTATAAACAATTCGTTCAGCAACATCCCCAACTAGTTCAGTCATAACTCGTACAAATCCGTTACGTGGATTCATCATATATTCATCAGCACAAGATGGTGATGATGTCCCAGTATTTGTATAACCTGTTAATCGTTTTACTGACATTACCGATTGCATAAGTCCACAACGTTCCTCAATCATTTCGACCTTAAATTTTCAAAAGTGTCTGAATTAATATACTAAGACACATGAAATAATTCTTTATATATAACAAAATTGCTTTATTTCTAGACGCAAAACATCATTTAATCAATACTTCATACTCTCTTAGAGTTGTAGTACCTCATCATCAATTATCATTATTAAAACAGGTCAATTACTCCATGACCGATCTGCTTTTCTAAACTTTCTGATCGACACAAACTTCACATAAAAGCAAATTAAAGAAAAATTAGAAATCACTTTCAAAATCGTGCATAGCTCGGTAAGAGTTTCCAAATGTGGATTGTGTATAATAATGGGGCGCAAAGTATCGTAAAAAACACGGCATAACGACTCGATAAAATCATCGAATGATGTTGTCCCTGAGATTAATGGGGCTAAAATTGATGCATGCGGACCTGACGGGGTTGAAACCGCGACAGATCTTGAACCACTACCATCATCACCTATAACGTTTGTATTTAAATTTAAAATGCTTTTTAGAATAGAGGAAATAACTATTAAGATTTCTGAAGTACGATTATCAAAAAGTATATTTTACCCACCACCAACTGTAAAAAACTGCTTGTATAGTCGAAATTCATCATCGCAAAGTCGAAGTAAAAAAGCACAGCCATTTCGAGTCAGTGCACATGAGCTGTTTTCATGAGTTCTGTATAAATTAAAAATTAGTCTAATTAAAAATGTCTACTTTTTGAAATTAAGTAAGAGATACTTGAATAGTTTAACTGAAAGCACAAAATATTTGACCATTTCGAGTCAGTGCACGAGAGCTCTGTAAACTATTTGAAAAAAAGGAAAAAACCTTTTTAGTTCGTCAATAGTACTTCTTATAACAGGTTCAAGCATTTCATATCGTATTTTAAAGTAAGCTTGCTGGCAATCAGCTGCCATCAACTGAAACTCTGCGACATCTCGAAAATGCTGTTCAGCAACATTAAGAGTTGATCGAATAGAACTAGCTCGGGCAGCAAAAACACCATAAAGCAATGCGAAAGTCTCGTCATCGCTATAACCACTTTGACCGTCTGTAGAAAAGAATCAGTAAGTCGCTTCTTAAATACTGATTATTCTTTAAAATCCTTCCCCATCTTCTCTTCTGTCAAAAAAGAAACTAACATACTGTCAACATCCAGCTTCATATGTCTGTCCTTCACGGCACTATTACTTGCTTCCAAATCGGCCATAACTCCCATTCTTATCACTGTCATTGCTCTAAATTTTATCAACAATAGAGAGGGGATATTCTTACACATAGTTTGTAGCAAAAGAAGATAATACCTTGACAAACACTGCTTATATTTGGTAATATAAGTATCGGAATCCTTATAATGAATATGGTTATTCAAAAATCTCAAACATTCATCGATTGTAGACAAAATCTGTGTAAACACTTGTCCCGTTATCGAAAATTTTCCCGTGTTTAATTTCTGGAATATATGCTTACAAGGTTTGGAAAAACATAAAGCTTAAGCCATTTAAAATACCTGAATAATTTATCCAAGAGAAAAAAGTGACCAAACTCACTTTCATGACAGACTCGTACTGGGTGTAATAGTAAAGGTTTGCACGAATTTGTTCAGCTCCAGCAGCAATCTGTGTTTGATGTGCCATCATCCGATCACATGCGTTATGCAATGAAGAAGTTCGTTCAGTAACCATCTCATAATTACTTCGCAATTCATTCACAAGCTGATTAAATTATAATGTTTCTTTATAAGATTGCTTCATGAAATAATATTAATCAAATAATTTTACTATAAACCGATCCCCAGATAAAAAAAAGTTCATGTAGAAAAAACAGAGAAGTGAGGAACGGAGATGTAAAACTTGATTCAATCATAAAATTAACCTCAATGCACTTATCGTAGCGTTCTTTCAATAAATCTATACTTTTCTTAAAGGTATGTAATAAACCAATTTCAGCACTTTCTTCAGTAATACCATTCGAAATATTTTCCTTTTCGGTGGTGTACAAATCCGATAAGTAACTGAAGGAAAAGATTCCAGGTAAATGCTGAGTGATATGAACAAATTTTTTGTGTTGTTCTATAAAAATTAAATGTCAATTAAACAATTCCTTCCCGTTCCGGAAAATATGGGTTTTAAATCCATAATTATGGAGAATTTCTAAGGACCTAAACATAATCTTTTTTTTTCAATTTCAGTTTCATGATCCTGCAGAAAAGAAAGACTATAATTTCATTTTGACATTGATTATTAATGCTGAATTATAAAAGAAACCTGCAAAGCAGATTTGCATCCAGATCCGAATCTAGCACTTCTTCGAAGTCCTCCGATTCTTTATCACTTTGTAAGTTAGCTAAATAATAATCCCATCATTCTTGCAAACAAGAGAAAAAATTTCTCAATCAAGAGCGATTCTAAAAGATTTGACGATTGAATTTCCTTAAATACTAGAATTTCTGGCTCTTATTATAAGCATTCACCAACTATATTTGGGATTGGTACAAGTCAGTAATAAAAAATAGAATAAATCCCCCTCAAAATAAAAAAACACAGTTACGGAAATTTTACCACCGCTTGTAGACGAAGATAATCCATAATCAGCAGCTTTAGCGCTCAACAATCCAACTGTTTCATTATGCATAAATCCGAAAGGATCGAATTCAGTTGACGACATCCTGAAAGTTACCAGCGAAATTGTTCGAATACAATACTGTAGTAGCGCACCAAGTCCACCTGTACCTGCACGAATACTGATTCAAATAGAAATAAAAAAATCATCTAACAATGGACAAAAATTTTCATATGTAATCCATCTTCATTTTTTTCTTTTAAATCGCAAATCCGATGCTATCCATATTGCTCGGACATTACCATTGTACAGATACCAATAAAGATAGGGAAAACCAATTTATTTTATTATTAGAAACATTCTCACACACAGTGAACAGATAACTTCATAATCAAAAACGATGATAGGAGAAAAAGATGCTGGTACTTTAGGTACGTTGCGCTGAAAAGAATATTCTAGACAGGATATTCTTCAACGAATCTTTCAAATAAAATTATTCGAGAGACAAAGAAATATTTTCCACCATTTTACAAACAAAATGCGAAGCAAAGCATATGAAATTCATTGCTTGGAAAAATCATACAGTCAGAAAACAAAGTAACAACATAGAAATGACTACATGAATAATACTGCCAAAACCCTAAAACGAATTTATTTATATAATAAAAAAACGAATTTATAAAATAAATTTTCAACAAATCCAGCTTTTTGTGCACAAACTGCTTCAAGTTCGAATAACTGAGAACACCAGAGTGAATGTTATTAAACCTTTTTAAAATACAAAACAGTAATGTCGTACGACTTAAATTATAACAGGATGTATCACATTTTTGATTTTCTTGAACAAAAAAATTCCCACTTCATATCCATCGAATGTAAGTCTAAGTTATTAATTATATTCCGAAAAGAAAAAAAGACAAAAATAATAACATTATTTGTTTATTCCAACCGCTGCACTTGTTTCCGCTGCCTGGGAGATCCCGATTTCGGCGATTTGTCTGAAATTTTAAAAACATAAAATCTACAGAAAATGAATCCGGATGAAAAATAAAATGCACTACGAGCCTGAAATTTAAGAACGATCCTTATGCGGATCATTGCTTCTCAGAAAATTATTAGTTTCTCGTATGTAAACAATGCCAGATTAATAAGATAAAATGCATACTGTGATTAAGCACTTCACGTGGGATCCATTCGAAATCAACTTCGTTCTTGTTACTGGTGCCTGTTTCAATCGGTTGTGTCTGCCGACTTTTGGCCATTCCATGTTTCCTTGTCAGCTGAAATGTTTTGATTATCAACTAGAAATTTTCTGATTATTTTGTACCTGAATACGATTATTTTGCCCTTTTTAGCACGTGGTATATTGATAATCATATCTTGCACTACGAGCTTTCAAGAAAATCTTTAGATGGTTCAGCGTTTCATCTGCTTCGTAAGCTTCCAAATCAAACATTTGATTAATTCTTCAACATCTAACAATTTTCCTTTTTTACACTCGTTTCTTTGATAGCTGTTAGTTAAGTTAATTGCATTCAAAAGCGTTATAAAAACGATAAAAGTTCAGTATTTAATAACCTTGGAAAGGAAATGTTGTCCAGCCAATAATATTAACACAACAACAGCCGCAAAAATGACATATAGGAACCCAGTTTCTGTGTTGAAATTTGATTCATCCTCAACAATTGTTACAGTTTCGTTGAAAACTGTGCTTTTGTACGCTTTCCCATCACTATCCTCATATCGTAGTTCTACGACAAGCCCTAACGGTCGTCCAGCAAACTGATCAGATGGATAAAAAGCATAGTTGAAAGTCGCTTCCTGTTTAGCTGCTACAACACGATTATACTGCACCCTCGAGAACTAAAAGCGAAATACATGAAATTAAATTTAACATCTGAGCAGTTCTAGGCAAGAATTTTATAGATCAAAATAATACATTCTGTATGTGGTAGCTGAAATCTTGTGGGTACCGGAAAGAAGTCTCGCAAAAATTCACAGTAAAATCTTTCTCGCCACGATTCTGGAATCCCATTAAGAACTGAACAATCTTTCCGCCAGGCAATTCTGAAAGAAAAACTAATATAGTAAAATACATTTACTTTAATAAAGATGACTAACACAGGAAAATTTAAAGATGAAGTCTCAGTGGAAAATACCTTCTGAATTTTCAGGCTGAGTGAAAATAAAAGCCACATGAACGTCAGGAGAAGGTCTCATTATGTGATCAACTTCCACTGCATCAGAAATCTGAAATATTTTACATTTAGAGTATGTATATCACTTCTATTCAATTAAAAAGTTGTATTTTACCAAATTTTACACGTTGCGTTCGGAGAAAAAACTGGAATTCGAAAAGATGACACAAAACAAGATGTTAAGTTGTCAGCAATCTCGAACAAACTCATTAATCTCCCTTCTTCCGAACGAAACATACACAAAAAAATTCCCAAATTAATAATACTGATAGTAGTGGTTACCTTATCATCAGGAACTACTATGTCATCCTCTTCACTTACAGCAATTTCCTCTTCAGCTTCACCATCAACTTCATCATCTCCTCTGATATTTATAAAACCTGAAAGCAGCACTAATTGACGAGAATACCTTGCTATCTCCTAGAACTAAGAATTGGATATCAATTCATAGAGAAATCCTGACTTACTGATAGGAATCTCCATCTCATATATTGATGGCAATATATTGAAACAGATTTAAAAGGGAACAAAAAATGATCTAAAATTGTGAATTAGTAAATAGACAAGGTTGCGTCGAAACTCAAACGAAGGCTTTCATTCTTATTGTGTATTTCAACAAATCTATTTGAAATAATAGCTGAAGGAGATGAATGACATGAAAGGAGAACTCACAAGCTCCTAACAGTGCAAGTCCAAGAAGAAGTCGAAATGCGCCCCTGCTAATCATCTTCCACCCGTCGACAATACCGCTCAGTCAATCAGTCCGCTTCATAATATTGCCAACCCGTCCCCGCACAACTGTTTCAGCCAATTCGTCTACAAACTGCCGGAAGAACGCTGCAACACCGCAACAACTGCAAATTTTCAAGGTGTGCGCGCTTGTGCGTGTATGGGAGTGAGGGAGTGGAGGGGCGGGGAATGAGGGTGCGTGGGCGGAACTGAATAGAGATGAGAACGAATTGAGAAAAGGAATATCTGAAAATTGTTGACATAAGCAAAAAAAAAGTTGTGAAAATGCAATCATACGTGAAGTGCATGATTGCATTTTCTATCATCCACCTGTTATCCAGTATCTATATACCGAATATTCGTTATTCAATTCTCTTCTTTATCGACATTATATTGTTCAGTGATCAATCGATTTCCGGAATCGATTACCTGAAACATTAAGCTTAGATTTTATCTCAAAGAGATGCTTTTGTGCGATTACATAGAAAATAAGATATATCTAAAATTGAATGGTAAGAAAACTAATTGCTTGTGGGGGAAGGAGGAAAGTTTCAACAATAAATGAAAATTACGAAGTAATGATTGAATGATTGAATTTTCAGTATATTTTGTGTACAAGATGTCGTAAGATTTGTAAAGGAACATTGAAAATCAAGAAGGTATGCAACCTCTTCAATTTTCGACACCTTGCATGCGAAATATGTTGAAAATTCAGTCACTGGTTCGTGAATTGGCTTGAATCGAAATGCTTAACGAAAGTTTTCATTTTTCTTTGAGAAAAGTGATAACAATTAAAAGAAGGACAAATTCAACCTCAACCAATCTCGTTATATAACATTACTGGGAATTGTTAATGTTAGCATATTGTATTCGATCATTCTTTCTATGAACCCTACAATTTGATAAATTATCGTGATTGGTAGATTGAATATCACCGAATAAAAAATTTAAATAATTTCAATAGAATAAAATCTTCAGTTTTGAAGACTAAAAGTTTATATTAACCTAAATCTACACTTATTATAATAACCATAAGCTATACAACGATAGCCATAAAGAAGGGAAAAATTCTACTCCAATGTAAACCAGTATTAACCACCTCTTCAGAATAAAAATCAGATAAAAGAAGAATATTTAAATAAGCAGGGGCTATGTAACTATAAAAAGAAATACTCAAAAAACGAGAAAAAAGAATTCATTGAATTGATAATCGTCCTTGTAATAACCGAAATGTCAGTCATCATAGCATCCAACCTATGCGCTTAACCTTTTAATTTTTTGAAAGAAACTGAAGTGGTGAAGGGAATCAACTACGATAGGAAGAGCTTACAGCATTAAATTTCTTGGATAGTTTCCTTATCATTTTAAATTATGCATCATACTTGACTGAAAGTTCACTAAAAACCGATGTATTTCAAATACACGTGTATCCAAACTTGACGAAGTCATAGTTTAAACCATGACTTATCTACTCCTTACTCCAAGTAACAACATAAAAGAGAACATTTATTCATGCTTGCGAAAAAAAATTTGATAAAATCAATAATGCACATCATATGTGGAGGAACACGGTGATAACATCTTCGTTGCAGATTACCGGGGCTCAACTTATCTGCTGCGGGCATCCAACCTATCTGTTGCAGATCATCGCGGGTTCAACCTACCTGTCTGCTGCAGACTACTGGAATTTAGATATTTTGATACTTGGATTTTAAATTTAAAAAAACAAGTTTTTTGTTGGAAGAATTTTGAAAAGGAAGTTCTTGATTTCTATCCATATTAGACAAGCAATGTATGGATGATATTGTGCATCGATGCAATACTTCACTTCAAAATATTTGTTTACCAACCTTTTAGTCTTCGTGTTTCTCAGTTTCGGAAGAAAATTCCAAAATGTGTCAAACAAAGCCATTTATCTCTTTCATGTTTGAATAACAAAATCTACTTCCCATGAAGGTAATAAATAACTGTTTCAGTTACTCCCTCTACTTCTTCTTTTATGCTTTCTGGATGGATCGACGGCACATGTGATAACGTTCTGCGTACATTTCCGGAAGAACATTTCAGAAGCATGTTTTAGAAATAACATATGGCTTCTAAGATTCGAGTGGAATCAAATATTCGTATTAAGGCTCTCCTTTTGCATTCACATGCTTATTCGTCCCTGCTAGCAATTATCATCATATGCTAGAATTGATGCTAGAAATATTCAGATAAAATTCCCAATTATAAAACAAATCTTAGCAAATAATTTGCCTGTGAATCAACACCAACCAATCTACAACATTTTCACAACCAAATTTTTCGTGCCCGAGGTGAGATAATCTGACTACTATCATAGCAAGTATGAAAAACCGGCCAAGAAAGATTGGACAACCTACTTTAAGAAATAAAAATGATGCAATCAATGCCTCCAGATCAAGCTTCGACAATGGAACAGCGACGGGAATTTTACGAAGTAAGAAAACGAATAACAAGATAAAATTCAAAGATTTCAACTATGCATCTATACGCTGGAATCTGCAAACGACAAGTGACTCAATTACATCCAAAAATCCATCACCGCACAAAAAAGAAAGGATGAAGAAGAAAAGTATGAAGAAACCAGAAAAGGAGACAATGTACCCCATGAAGGTACAGGAACAGTTATAACGTCAGCGATGTATGTGAACGCGACTAATCATGAACTATTGCGACTCTCACAAGAGTTATTTCGACCAAAGGAACCGATGAGACCCACGTCTCATCTCACGGTCAATCTTCCACGATTGTCGTTATCCACATTTAGTGGAGATCTAAGACAATGGCGGCAGTTTTGGAATAGTTTCAATGCTGCAGTTCATTCACAATCAATCCCGGAAATTCAAAAGTTGAGTTATTTGTATTCATGTTTAAAAGAAAGCGCTCTGCAAATAGTAAAGAGCTATGATATGGTTCCCGAAAATTACGAAATCATAGAAGACTGTTAAAAAACAAATATGGCAAGTCCTCGATTATAACGAAAATGTTATATATATTGGTCGATGTTGATTCACAAGCAAATTATTTGTTAGATTTATTTTATAGCTGGGAATTTTATCCAATAATTCCACAGAATAGATGCATGAAGAAATGAAATGGACAGCAGAATATATGGTAATATATGAATATATGATAAACTAGCATGGACGAATAAGCATACGACCGTTGAAAGATGTGGAAGACGAGATCCCTGATTACCCATACTTAAGTGTTTATATACCCAACATTGAGGGTGGTACCAGAATGGTAGATCATGGGAAAGGAGAGGATTGTATGACTACTTGTTAGTTGCACTGTTGTCACGTTACAAACAAAGAACAGTGGCAAATGCGTGGTAAAGCTATCTTTCATAATGATATTACAGTACCACAGAGAGATTATATTACAAGAAATTTTAACAAAGACAAAATTGTGAAGTGCAGCTTTCTCAGGCTAACCGTCAATGATACAATTCTCAATTCACGTGAATAATTTTACTACGAATATTCGGATTTTCCGACATAACGAAATCCAATTTATCAAAAAAAAATGAAAAGAAATGGATTGGAACAATTGAAATTGTAGGACGAGTGAGTAATACGCCAATTAGAAGCTTTAGGAGAAAGCCTGAAACATTTGAGTATTGAAACTTCAATAGAGAACAAATTACCACGTTGGATTTTAAACCAGATATATCAAAAGAAAACAGATACACATTGGTCAGTTCCGAAACAATCTAAGCCGGGCAAAACTTCCGAAGCAACTTTGGAAGTCAGCATTAGCAATAATTCGAAATGATGAGAAGTTTCCTAAGATTATCACAACGAACAACAAAAAAAGAGGAGATCATGTGTCTATTGCTCCCGAGGTCATTGGGACAGTGAATGCGACATTTACCCCACAACTAACGCTCGAATAAATCGTCTCAAAGCACGAAAAAAGAAACCGTGATGGAGAAGATTGCAAATGGAAAGCACAGTGCTTCTATCGTAGGGATTCTCATCAGCACGCTATGCAGTAAAAGGAATCAAAAACCTTCAATCAATATATCACATTTAGACACAATCCAAGACACCAAGGAAAGTGAGTATATTAATGAAAAGTGAAAAATGTTCAACAGCTACTTACAATTCAACTCTTCCAACTCAAACAGATACAGTAAGGAAAAGACAAGGAAAGAAAAGTCAACTTTTATGTATAGAGATAATCGTCTTTAATTCCCTATTACCTCAACGATAAGAAAAGGCCTTGGCACTGTTTGATATAGGATCACAATTATTCTTTATCTCCAAAGAATTATCGTACCGGCTAAAATTAACTGAAACGGAAGAGCAAAACTTGAAGTTAATTCCGTTTTGGTATAAAGAAGCCCAGATCATGCCTCACTGCCCGCACGCAGCTAAGTGTGCAAAGTAAGTGGAAAAGAAAATTATAACACTGCATGTCAAGTGGTTGAATACTTAATGAGTTATGAGTGGTTGAGACATCGATTGAAGGCCAATTCAGAAATCTAACGAATTGTTGAAAACGACCCGATCTCCTTATTGTTGCTGATTATTTTTTTAAATTTGTTGGTTTAAAAGAAACCAAAGAATTAAATTCTGGACATGTACTGGTACAATCAAAAATCGGTCCAATGCTTGTTAGAGGTAGTGACACAAGTGAAATTTGCAACAGCAATGCAGTATGCACTTCAAACACATATGTGTAGCACCGTAAATTTTGCTTCGGAATTGAAAAAAAATTGAATCATTCATAGTTTAAACTCTGATAATTTCCTTTACTTCTACTTTTTATAAAATTTAAAAATTGGTCTATTTTTTAATAATTTCAAACTAATTTCAATTTTTTTAACAAGAATACTCTTCTTTGTTCATGATTGCATACAACATTATTGTAGTATACGCCTCAGATGATTCATTCTATTCTGAATTGGAAAAATTTTGTGACAATTCTGAAATATATTGCCGTTATAATCGCGTTTACATAAAATTACGGTTTCCAATGAAACCAACAAAAAATTTTAGAGTGTTGTAAAGTCAAAATTATTATTCAAAAAAATCACAATTCTGTGATTCTTTGTGTGATCACTGATCGTATAGTTTACCGGAATGTACAACGATTCTCTCTGTTAATGCGTTTTTGTTTCGCTGGATTGGTTAGCTTGCTTGCAACAATTGTAATCTACAAGTCGATCATGTTATTGTCACATTATTTCGCTGTATTTCTGCTGTCGACGTATATCGCCCAAATAACGGTATGTGAAATTAAATAAATTTTTATCTCTTATCTTAGCTAAGGATAAAATGGCTTGCTGTCACATCGATCCCTTAATCTTTTTGTCTCGAATGAACGGCACAAAATACTGGAATTGACATTTTTTTCAAATTATTATTGCAATTCATCGAGATACCCTTAAAATATCGATTTAAAAAAGTACTGTTTAAAAATTTTAGAAATCAACAGGTTTGTTTATAAAGAAATCACTGTAGGTTATTTCAGGCACCAAAAAAAGCGGTTTGCTAAAGCAAGGAGAGCTAAGAAATGACGGCAAAATAATGACCATGGCTAATAATAATGGAACGGACAAAAGACGGTTCAAATGTGATGTTTGTGATAAGCAATTTGAACGTGCAGAATAGCGGTGAAAAACCATACAAATGCGAGTTTTGTAGTAATCGATTCTACAACGAGACAGTCTGGTGCATGCAATATGAAATTCGCACAACTATTGGTCTGAATTATCTGACGTATGCAATAAGGCATTCGCAAAGAGTGCACATCGGTGGAAACACGAACGGATGCACACGAAAAGATCACTCCAACGTGATCAATATGGTTGAAAATCTAATTTCAAAAAGCAGAATAAAGTGCACGAAATACGAGAGGATACGGTAATAAGGCGAATAATTTCACTTGCTAGATTATAAATTATTGTATTGTGACAGCAGCTTTAATTATATTTGTATTACTTTTCTTGTACTGTTTTGCCATTATTTCCTGATTTGTGATTAATGAAATTTAATGGAAAATTTTGAATTATAATTCGATAGTACTTCATATTGTATTTATTTTTTGGTGCAAATTTTCATTTGTCATTTTAATCCACTATGCCGACATTCTAGTCATTATCAATTTTGTCTATTCGATCATCACATGTTTTTTTCATCTGCAACTTTTGATTGAAATTAGTTTTCAATAATTTATAATTTTGATCTAATGTATGTTTTGCTGAGATTCAAATAAGAGCCAAATGATAAAAAGTAATATCCACTGCTTTACACCTTTGCAGCAATGATACTGAATGAGCAGGTAATATTTTGAACAGCGTTACGCTGATTACAAATGGACGAAATCTGTGAATGATTGTTATTTTTTTGTTGCAGTAACCTTCTCATTTCGAATACTACGACGGATAGCTGAATTTGCTTTTCGGCAAAATTACATTTTTGATAAGATCAGTGTCAGTCAGATAAATGCAGTGAGATGTATTATTATTCATAGTTTATTTTGAAACTAAATTGTCCAAATATATACAAAGACCCAATTATAAAATAAATCTTAACAAATAACTTCTGTGAATCAACACTAACCAATCTACAACGCTTTCACAATAGCTCATGCTAATCGTTTCATATAAGAGTGCTTTGAAAGAATTACCCGTGAGGCCCTCAGATCAATTTCATTTCGAAGTGGAGAGGAATATTTCCAAATACGCAATATAGTTCTATTGAGAACGAGGGGATAGATCAATTTTTTTTTTAATGTGTTCAAATGGAAGCTTAATAAATATGCTTTTCCACATTCATTCTTATTTTTAATGCTTTAACACTTCGTAAATGAATCGTTGTCGACCACAACTAGTATAAACATTTAAATGAGTGACTGCTTGAGTTGAATTATCATTCATTGTGCTTAAATAGAAATCAAATTGTATTTCCGAACATTTCAACTGCTTCTTCAGCGTTTTATTTACTATGGATTTTTGCGTCATTTTTTTATTCAACCTCTTTTAAATTTTCATACTTTCATATGCTTAACACTATTTTAAACTTATATTTACATTTAAAACTTACTATAAGAGAAATACCCACGTCATAAAGAATGCAAACATTATTTTTTTTTATTTTTTTACGAGTCAATTCCAAATGGAGAAGTGGAAAGGACAAAAAATGGAAGTATGCACAGAAACTGAATTGAAAAGAGAAAATAAAGGAATGAAAGATTTGTTTACAGGTGGAAAGTTTAATTTGATGAGCATACTCTAATAAAATGGAAATCACAATAGCGCTCGACAAATATGCATTTTTTACAGATTGTATATCTTCCAATTTAACGAAAAAATAATTCCATGCTTTGGATTTCAAATCAAGACGATTTCATCATTATCAAAAAAGTTAAAACCGGAATCCTTGCAATCCTGCTAGAAATTTAAAGTACGCAAAGTAGTTATAGAAATTGAGGGAAATTTTACTTAAAAAATTATGCTGAAAAAATGAAATTTCATCTCTATCATTCCAGTGAAGAAAATATCCAAATAAACCTAAATGAAAAATGAATTAGATTTCAAAAACATATGGGAATGCGACTTAGGTACTGGCAGGAGACAGAAAAAACGTGCATGATTGACTATTTAAAAAATCCAATCCAAAGGATATGTATGAATGTTTTTCTATCACTATATATACAATTTTAAAATGAAACGCCGTTAGATCAAAATCTAAAACAATCACAAAGTTCATCACAATCGCATAGTGAAACCGCCAAGCGGTTTACAAAAACCTCACAAGAAACGTAAAATTGAAAGTTAAATTAATTTAAATATAAGTTCAAGTATTCACGCATAAATCATTATTTTCAACGGATAAGATGTTAGGTAAACGGTAACTAGACTTCCTTTGAGAGTTCGGAGGTTATCAAGCATTATGATATTGATGCGCTGTAATAGTATCAGTGAATAAATGAACAAAAATTGAATATAAAATTACAATAAAATATGCGATGTAATATAACCGTATTAAATAATACTTGGAGAATAAGCGTAAATGCCTAGTTACGCTGTGCGACCACAACATGACCAAAAACAAAATGGCTAGAGGTAGTGAGAATCAAAAGTCATAAACCTAAGTTCATTGGAATTTTAAATAATTCCTGATTTTTGCTAGAAAAATCGAATTAAATGTAAATACACGACTAAAAAAAATAAAAAAAATTGAAAAGGAAATTTACACGGAAATTCAAATTTTTGATGAAGTAATGATAAAGTAACAAAGAGTAAAAATTATGATGCACTGTAAAACACTGAACTATATTTCCTACAGGACAATAGTAACACACACACACACACAAACTACTTGCAAATATACAAGCTCATTTAACAAAGCTTTTGCAATAGTTTGCTAAATAAATTTTTCTCTTACACATGGTTTGAAAAACCTCCCATAAGATAATAGATTTTTGAATAAATTCAATCATAAATATAATTTCATAATTTTTTAAAATGATTCTAATCGAGTATTAAAATTCAATCATAAATATAATTTCATAATTTTTTAAAATGATTCTAATCGAGTATTAAACTTGAGGGAAGTTTTTTTACAAGCTTTGACTAACCGTTGAAAATGAATTTATAATTGAATGATCAACTCAACAATTAATTTCAAGTAAGTTTTACTTTTTTTTAAAAAACATCACCGGATGGAAAATTTAAATAAATAAAACACAGTAAAACTAAAGAGTAAAGAAAGTAAAGCTATGTTACTGGAAGCAATAATGATAGATGCAGCAGATGTGTCATCCCACAGTGCACCATAACGAGTCCGTACTTTACTGGACAATGAACGTGTTATCAATAATGAAGCGGAAGGTGTACCACCTATACTGCTTACTTCTACTGCTGTCCCATAAAGAACTAAATCCCATCGAATCAATTCAGCATCTGAAAAAACTCGCATATTAAATGAAAATTATGGAATTTAGTTTTTATATAATGGAAATGAAAATGTGAATTCTATAGGTAAGTATTTATATTTCATTTGAAAAATTTACCATCCCATCCATCGTTATTGATTTCTAATGTCCATAAGCCGACAGCCATTTCACCCCAATTATGTGTTGTCATGAAAGCCCATTCTCTGAAGCCTGTTCTTGAAGTATCACGAGCTCGTTTGGCCAATAAAGTTGATCGAGTTCCTATAACATTATTACACAATAATCACACAAAAGTTTATAGAACGGTGATTACAACCGATCTAAGAGCAAAAAGGAGGAAATTAATTATAAATTTATTAGAGAAACGCTACCCATTTCAAATTAATTTAAACAAATTTTCTAACCAATTGATAAGATTTTTGAATTCAATCTTCTATTCTTAACTATTATGACATCGCAATTTACCTGATGGTGAAGTGAGATAAATTTGTATATCACCCCGTTTTGGTGCAGTTAGAGTGATGATTGCCTGAACATGTTCAAGATATCCTACTTTATTACGCGGATAGCTGGCACAACCATCCGTGTAAAGCTGTAACTGTAATCGATTGCCATGTGGAACTGTTCTAAAAAGGAATTAAAAGTAGTAAAGTTTAAAATTAAAGAGGTATTGGAATCAATGTTTTTTTATTAAAATAAAAAAGGATATTTTGAGAACTTTGTATGACCTTACTGGCATCTAATTATTTTTCACATTATAATGTAGTGATTCTTTCTGCAACCAAAGCTAATCTATTTCAATATTTGATTTACTTTATTAAGAAATATTTCTTTTATTAAAAAAAATATTTATCAAACATACAGATTTTAAGAATTATTTTTATCAACAAGATTTACAAGAAAGGAATGTGCTTGCCCTGAGTTTTGTTTTACATCATATACTTTGCATTTCTATAAAATCTTCAGTAGCATGTTTTGCAAGATTTTGATTTGCTTTTGAAAAGCCTAATGATCTTATAAAAAGTACGATATTTCCTTGCAAATGCAACCAAATGCAAATTATTTCGACCAAATTTTGGCGAAATCTTGAAAGAAAAGAAACTAACTTGTATCTTGCCGGATAAAAGACGACACATTTTCTCTGCTCCGGAACCGTTGTCCAATTACTAGCCAACCGGACCATCCCACCAGCATCCATTAAACCAAAACCAAATGAATGTGAAACTTTCTTTCCAACTCCGTTTGTTACCCAATCGCCAGCACGAAGATTGAGTGGTCGAGCAGTACGAACAACAATATGCTGAAAAGGATTTCTTATTTTTATTTATTCTCTACAAAATGAAGTTTCAATTTCTAACGTAAATCATTTTAATTCATTTGAACAAGCAAAATTCAATGCAATACTCTCAACGAACAATACATTATACTGATCAGCTAACTGAAATTTTTGAGGAACGAATAACTACCTGCATATCTCGCCATGTTAATTTAGGATTCGCTTCCAGAGTTAAAGCAACAATGCCAGCTGCTAGTGGTGCACTTGCCGAAGTACCCGTATGAGCATTTGTACAAGAATGATGTAAATCTGTTGTTACCTACAAAAAAATTTTAAACCATGCAAGAAATTTGCAAACGTGAAAACCCCATTGATATAAATAACGTGGACAATATATCAAGCATGTATTTCAAAGTCGATAATGTTAAACATTATTTCGTAAAGAATGAAACGTCAGTAAACCTCCATTTTTTGAACTGAATAAATTTTTATACTGATGGAGAATTATCAAAAAAATTATGTCAATGAAAAAATGGCGCTCTCGATGGTAATCAACAGATCAATTTGAATTTGGGACAATGAAGTTTTAAATTTGCTTTGTTTTTGATGAATACATAGAACAAACATTTCTTGAGTGCCTAAATTGACAGAGCTATCTCATAAAGCTTAAGCTATCCCATAAAAAGAGGAGACGTTAGCAAAAGTAAATAGATTCCTATTAAATCTTCACTTTTACTTATCAATCTTGCTTCTCTTTAAGAAAGTGGAAAACTTACAATCATTTTTTCACCAGTAGCACCGCTACTATATGCAGTAGCAAGTGTTGAACTACAAGCTTCCGAATACCACGGTATGTTGCCGTGTTCGGTTGCAGATGATATCGATAATGTATAAATACTGTTGGTATACCCATCACAATTACATGAATCGGCATCTTTACCACCATTTCCACTGGCCCAAACAAATATAGAACCAAGTCCACGACGACCCTAAAAACAGCTCACATTTCCTCATTTTAACAAATAAAATGTTTTAATAAGTACAGTTCTTTTCCAATTCGAGTAAGGCAATTTCTAAAATTTTAGATAATGTTAATCATTATGAGGTTAATATCTGCAAATTTTTAATTTGTAAATATTAACACAACTTTCTCTAACTCACCTCACGAATACCTTTTTCGAAAGCCCTTCTTGTTAGTTTCGCTGGCCCATCAACCGTTCTGCCATCATCATCCGGTCCCCAACTTGCCGAATAAATATCAATATGGTCGGAGTTATGAGCAAGACTAGTTGCTTCTACCGCATCGGTTACATCACCATCTAGCATTCTAATCCCTGCAAAAAGGAAATTTTTGTGACTTAGTAGCGGTCTTTTTGCTGAAAATAACTTCAAATTCAGAAGTTCAGTTCAAGTTAATCGGGAAGTTTGATACTATGCAAAAATATTATTATGATTTATTTGTTCAGAGAAATTCTAAAAGGAAGTAAAAAACTACTTTCCGCAGAAAAACAATGATACATCAAGAACAGAATGTATTTATTTACAAAAAACATTGGTATTAAATGATATGTCGAGCGCTGTACTCAATCACAAAATATTTTTTATTTTTTTATAAAAGTAAACTGAATAAATTTCATGCAATTTAGTATTAATTTGATCTAAAATATATTTAAAAAACAAATATGATCAATGTCCAGATGACGACACAGCTTAATATCTGAAATGGTAAACTAATGGTCTTCTGAAACGATGCAGTTGTCAACAATTGTCAGCTAGGTTCTGGACGCATAAATTTTGCTACTTGACATAAAAAACAGACTTAAATATCTAAGTGTGCCATTGCCACAACACAAAATGTTCAAATGAATTCATGAAATGATGCGAATTTAATCCTCCACAACAGACTCTTTTCAACTATTAATCCTACAAATGAATCCAAAATAGTACCACCAATTCGAGCATTGTATGCGATCCCAACAATACATAATGAATTATTGAAAATAGCAGCTACTTCTCCAGCACATCGTGTTCCATGCCTATTCTCATCTGTGTAATCATACCGGGGTGTCGGGTCTTCATCACGATCATTTACATCATAACTAGCTTTAGCATCCTGAAAATAAAATTTTTTATTTTCAAGAATTCAATGTCCTACAAAGACAATGAAGGAAAACAATCTATCTTGACTTTAAATTTTCACTAAATTTTCTAAAAATTCACATAATTCGGAGCAATATCCGGATGCGTTCGCTCTAAACCATCATCCAATATCGTTACAACTACACCCCTTCCTGTATAACCAAGATCCCAAGCTTCGCGTACATTATGATCCAAGCCACGATCATATACTGCTGGATTCTGAAATTAATTTACTTCAGAAATGGAGAATCAATAAAATATAGAATCAACCATTGTATGATAATGACTTCAAACTTACCAAATACCACATATCGGACCACAGAGGATCATTTAAATTATAATTTCCAACACTGCGAACACCAGTGTTTCGGTTACGGTTGCTTGAATATTGTTGTTGAGCATCATCATTAGATATTATTGTGAGATCGTCATTGATTTCATTGCCCTGAAAATGTTATTATCAAGTGTGATTTTTGAAATGAAAGATATCTCAATCAGAAAATTCGTTTAATTCTTTCATTACTCGTCCTAGCTATTGTAATCCCTTTCACAAACAACAGATACATTCGCAGATTTACAACTAAATTAATCTGTGAAATTTAGAAAAAAAATGGCACGTTGAAAGGAAAACTCTTCTCTTAGCCTCTTCAATTAATATTCTCTGCTTAACTTTCATCAAAACATAAAAGCACTATCTTACATAACAATGTTTTATTCAATTGTCAAATCAAACTGAAGTTTATAAAAGCCAAGGAGTGAAATTGACTTAGTGAGCAGAAACGTAGAAAGTGAAAAAGCTCTTGTCAGCATTATCAATTGTGTAAAGCAAAATTTTAATAAAATGTGCTAACTTTAAATCGTTGCAAGTGAACAGCCGAACGAGCATTTATGGACGTATAACCACGTTTCA